CGGGCCGGGCTGGGGATTCGAACCCGCCACCTTAGGTGTACATGGCTGGCGCCTTAGCCGGTTGAGCTATAGGCGCCGAGCCAAGCTTACAGTTTTAGTGAGTCATGCCATCTTATCAGGCATCACCAACTTGGAACAGTGTGCTGAGAGCTACGAAGGGACAGCTTTGGACACCTTGTGAGCATACAGGAGAGGCACTCAATCCAACTTTGTTTAGGGAAAATTTCCCCAAGAAGGCCACATCTCTGTTGAGTGGGTGAGGAGTTAGCCCAGGCAAGTCTTTTATACACAAGACGCAGTTTGTGAGAGCCAAGAGGTAAGAGAGTGTGGTGACACAGTGGGATGCCTGGGACAGAGGTTCCCATCAGGAGTGGTGCCTTCACTATGCTAACTTCATATAGACAACTGGGGAGTCCCCAAAGTGTATTAAGAGGAGGACAGAGGTAACAAGAGATGGCTTTGGGAGAGATCACCCTGTCTGCTGTGTGGGTTTCAGAGAGGAGCTGGCAGGACCTCTAGGAGGGGCATGAGTTAGGAGAACATCCTGGCAATCCAAAAAGCTAAGCCGATGACCTCAATATTGTGGCGGAAGAGGCCGGGAAATAACAGAAAGGAGCCAATTTCCAGACTGGATCAAGGGGATGGAGCAAGTAGACCATGGGACTGGTTGACTGCCAGAGGAGGGGCACTGACCCGGGACCGATGAAGTCTCTCAGGACTGAAACGCTCGCTCCTTAGGGCCTGGTACTGGAGCTCCTGTGTCCCCTTGCACACGTTTTCGTTGACATCTAAAAATTGCTTCCCGTAGGATTAAGTAGTTGTACACGAAAGAATTACGGGCGTGTGCTGCATCTGCCTGTTAAGCAGATGTGTGTCAAACTCTAGTTCTGCAGATTTTGCTCTTCCCATTATGGAAAAATGTCCATATCCAGTCGTCACCGTGTAACCTACTTGCCCACCTGGACTTGCTCTCTGTGAGGAAAAAGTCCGACGCTGCCTTCACACTGTTCAATTCACCTTTAATCAACCAGAGGAAACCATCTCACCCTTGACTTCCACTACGGAAAGCCGTTCTGTGAGTTTCACCCCGATGAAACCAAAGGCCACCCCCCAAGGACTCTATCTTCAGCTTCTTCCTGAAGCTCTACCAAATCTTAACGTTACTCCCCAGCAATGTAAAAACCAGATCCTGCAGAAGTCTCACAAGAACCAGAAGAAATAGGTGTTTGCATTCGTCCTGACTAGACAATATAAGCAAATAAACACGCAAATGTCCATTTGTGCCCGCCGAGCCACTCTCAGGGTCCACCGCGTGCCACCGACCCAGCCCACGGCCGGCGGCCCCTCGGTCCTGCCCACGTTCCCAGGGTCGCGTCCCAACCCCCCCGCCCCGCGGCCCTCTGATTTCCCGGCTAGCCTCGAGTGAGGACGCGCTCCTAACACTCACGGAGTAAGCCCGCGGAAGTCCCTTCCACGAACAGAAAGGCGAGCTCCCGCCGGCCTGGCCCCGGCCCCGGCCTCTCCCTGGGCCTCAGGGACGCGAGACTCGACAGGCCGCCTGTAGGAAGGACACTCCCGCCTCGTCTCAGGGGCGGCCACGAGCACCCGGCGTCTTTTGCCCGCCCCATCCCATCCACTCTAGCCTCACACAAACGAGAAAAGAGCTGGGACCTTCGCCTCCGATTCAGTCCTGACGTCGCGATCCCAGCACGAAGATTCCACTCTCCGACGCCTCCGCGGCGGCCATCTTACCCAAAAGAGACGGACGCCTTTTGACTCTCGCGCCAACCCGTAGAACGAGCGCGCCGCGGAGGGAGCTGTGCGCAGGGACGGAAGTGGAAGCCTGAACTTCCGGTAGCCCGCACGCCCAGCCCTCCCGGGACAGCTTCATTGGCTTGTCAGGTTGCGATCTCACAATCTCGCGAGAGGTGCTGAGGGGGCGGCCGCCGGTGTGTCTGCCCTCCCGCTCCCCGCCCCCGCTTCCGCCGCGGCCTCCGCCTCCGCCTCCCTCCAACCGGGCGTCCCCGTCGCCACCGCCGCTCCTCCCCGCCACGGGAGCGGCCGCGGAGCCGCCACCGCCCAGTCCGCGCAGCGCGGGAGGCGGGATCCGCACGGTAAGATGGCCGCTGCGGGCCCAGACGGCCGGGCTGAGCGTGTCTGCTGCCGGGCCGGGCGGTGGGGGCCGGGGCGAGGGGCCGGGCCGACCCTTCAGCGGCCCCAGAGTGCGTCCCGCCCGCGAGGACAGTCACAGTTGGGCCCACCCTGCGGGGTGCCAAGGGTCAAAGGTGCGAGCAGGTGTTGGAGTTTTGCGCGTGGTCTCCCGGGGTGGCGGCGGCCCCCCGTGGATTCTCGAGTCCAGCTGAGCTGGCGCCTCGGGTCTCGTGCTTTGGCGTTTGTTCGGTTTGTAGCCTTGAAAGGGACGCGTGTGAAGCGAAGAAGTGTCAGAGGTGGCCGAGTAGAATCCTGGTAGTTAGGGACACTCCAGACGTTCCTCCCCGTGAGGAGGAGGATGCCTGTCTTTGTATAGGAATCTTCTGTTTTAGAGCGGAAACTGGTGAGGACGTAAATTGTTGCATGGAAAGCAAGTGTTGGTGGCCTTCAGAATTTAGGGTATTTTTTCTACTGCATATTTTAACTACGGGAGTTTGAAACAGAATAAGTCAGTTTCCCCAAGTTGTTACTTTTAATTGTGGCGCTCACCGCCTGGTAGTGGCACTTCTGCTGATTGGTCCTGGGTCACCTTTACTTGTGAATGACTGTTTGGTCTTCATAAGATTTGCAGTTGACTGTAGCTACCGGCCATGGGTGTTTGTCTGAGTGACGACATCTCTTGGTTTTATGCACCTGCTGGTCCACAGCAAGTTTCTGGTGCCTGCATCTCTCTGCTCCATTTCTAAGAAACTCATGTGCCCCCTTCACATTCCCTGTGTGCAGTTTCCTTGAGCAATCATTGCTGAACGCTTGGCTTTAAATATCTTCCTCCCACCCCAGATATTTCCATAGCTAATGTTTCCAGCACAGAGCTTAGGATCTGTCATCCAGATGCCTGTGTGACTGCCCTGGCTACATGTCTGGTCGTCCTCTCACACTCGCTCTGCTCCTCAAACCTGTTCCACTCCCACTCTTATGTGTGGCCCCACACCCCAAGGCCTTTCACACATGAAACCTCTGGCCATCCTTAGTTCTTCTCTCTCTCTCTTTTTTTTCCTGTGGTCCCTTCATGTTAAGTTCAGCAGCAACCTTTGACGCTGGCCAGAGCATCTTGGTCTGGCCATGCCTGTCTGTCTTGTCTGCCACCATAGGCTCTTGCACCAGTGTTTCCTTATTAGACTTGGGTTCAGCACGTTGTATCTAGCACATTGGCAGCTGGGAAAACCAGAGCCATCTTTTAATTTTTTAATTGATTGGAGCAGTCTGGCACATACCTTATTTTGTGATGTATATGTCAGGGATGAGGGATAAAAAGCAAGGGGGACAGTGGTGTACTCACCACCCATTTCAGGACCCTCATAGTGCTCCCAGAGCTGGCAGAGCTGCCTCTTTGGCCCAAGCCATCTGCCCCTCCCACAGATATCCACCACCTGACCTTATTTGAAAAAAACAAAATAACGGCTCTGAGCCTATACAGCGGCTAGGGCGCCAGCTACATACACCAGAGCTGGCGGGTTCAAACCCAGCCCAGGCCTTCCAAACAATAAGGACAACTGCAACCAAAAACAGCCAGGCATTTGGCGGGTACCTGTAGTCCCAGCTCCTTGGGAGACTGAGACAAAGAATCACTTAAGTCCAAGAGTTTGAGATTGCTGTGAGCTGTGACTGCACGGCAGTCTACCAAGGTGGACATAGTGAGAATCTGTCTCAAAAAGAAAAACAAAAATAGTTTTTCCAGTTCTGTTTATTACTGAAAGCCCACAGCCTGTGCTGCAGCTTGTTTTTTCCTTCAGTATTGTTTGTGGAGGAAACATTGTGATTGGGTGAGTTCACATACTTTCACTGCTTTCTTAAATTCGGTTGTGTACATATGTGATCATATGCTAAAACCCAGTATTTCTGAGACCAGAAGTTTTTGATTTAGTTTTCAACATACTTGGTAGTAGTGTCTTACCTAGTAAAGTTTAATTGCTTCTGTTCTACTTAGTATGAATACTCACACATCTCTCACAGTGTTTGATTATGTGGTGCTGCCTCAGGCCTCAGTGAGGCTATTATATTGTGCCATATAATCTTTATACAGTCTGAAACTGTTCTGAATTCTAAAGCACATCTGTATGCCACAGTTCCTTTGTTCATGCTACTGCTGAATGAACATTTAGGTAGGTAACTTTCACATTTTCCATTATCTAGAGATAACTCTCCAGTGGAGAATCTGAACACCTCCATCAGCTATTATTTTTTTTTTCTGTAGAAATAAATCAGAATGAGTTATGCAGAAAAACCCGATGAAATCACAAAAGATGAGTGGATGGAGAAGCTTAATAACTTACATGTCCAGCGAGCAGACATGAATCGTCTCATCATGAACTACCTGGTCACAGGTAACGGCTTGAGTAGGGATGCTACTACTTAAACATAATTCTCCTTTTTGTCTAAACAAATAGCACTTGACCACTGAAGCTTGGTTTTAAAGTTGCGTTCAGACATTATAAAAGCACATGTTAACTTGACAAATTTGTAAGCTCTCGTGTTGAAGATAACCTTTTCCAGAGAGGAGGTGATCATTCTAGGTCTCTGAGACCTACTTCCAAAACCAGTTCCTTTGATAATCCAGATAATTAAGATTATTCTAAAGTACCTTTGAAGCCCAAACAATTGTACTCTTCTGGCCAGTCTGGTAAAGTATTCCTGCCTGTTCTTAGAAGTGTGCACCACTTAGGAGGGGACACTCAGACCCTTCTTGACACAGAGGAGGAGGAGGATAGGGCTGTATATGGTAAGAAAATCCAGACATTTTTCAAAAGGCAGAAAATAGAAAGTTGGTCTCCCTCCTGGTAGTCTTCAGTTTCCCCCTCCATGTTCATCTCTGTTAAAAAGTTTTCTGAAGGTGATGAGGAAATCTAGGCCTGGAGTTCTGGAAGGGAGAAGCATACACCTGGCTTTGATGTAGGAAGTAATTGCAGACTGACACTGAGCAGTCAGTGCAGGTAAAGCCAGCCTCCCACTCCCACCCGGCCTCACAGCCACACTGGGGGTGTGGAGCTAGCATGTCTGGCTCACCTGGCAGTAGCATCACTCAGCATCTGGCCCTCAGAGGAGCCCACAGCAGCACAGGGGGCTGGTAGCCATTCTTACCTCTTCAGCTGATATAATACAGTTTTGTATGGGGTGGAAAGGAATGAAGTGTACTGGCGTTCTCATTTTCTGTATTTTGAGAGTATAACTTGTAAATTACAAAGATATTAATACCAGGTCCTAAGAAGGTGTGGTCCCTGTGATATAATCTAGGCAGCTGGCCTTTCTAGAGATAAAAAGTCTTTGCATTAATTCTTTGCTAACTTTCCTAGCAGTGAAGGTGGTTTTCATTTTCAGAAGGTTTTAAGGAAGCAGCAGAGAAGTTTCGAATGGAATCTGGGATTGAACCCAGCGTGGATCTAGAAACACTTGATGAGAGGATCAAGATCCGGGAGATGATACTGAAAGGTCAGATACAGGAGGCCATTGCACTGATCAACAGCCTCCACCCAGAGCTCTTGGACACAAACCGGTACCTTTACTTCCATTTGCAGGTAAGTTTTAGGTAGTCTGGTTTTTGGATATTTGAAATGATTCAGAAGTAACTAGGCTAATTTGAATTAATAAATTTTTTTGTTTTTGGCGGAGAGGGATTTGAGTAAATCTATTTTATGTATTTCGGAAGCTGTTTTTTGCTTTTAAAATGCATATTTAATAAATCATAGATGTTGAAACATCTTTCTGAGCCCTACTTTAACTAAGACCAAGTTCCAGGTCATTGTCAATGCCTGGGATGTGTGAGTTAAGCCCGTCTGTCTTTGCCACGGACTAGCAACAACATCTGATCGAGCTGATCCGCCAACGTGAGACAGAGGCAGCGCTGGAGTTTGCGCAGACACAGCTGGCTGAGCAGGGTGAGGAGAGCAGGGAGTGCCTGACAGAGATGGAACGCACGCTGGCCCTGCTGGCCTTCGACAGTCCTGAGGAGTCGCCCTTTGGAGATCTCCTTCACATGATGCAGAGGCAGAAGGTAGAACATGGGGGCCGCCCCTCCATGTGTGGACAGAGGGGCTCACAGACATGGCGCTTGTGGGGCTTTGTGGTAAGAGCAGTGACATCTGGGCACTGGACACTATAGAGTATTGATGATTCTTCCCTTAGTTTTCATCTTTTATGAAACTAGGAGCATTAGAGTTTGAATATTCTAGAATATTCAACCCCCTTTGCTGATTTTTCTTACATAACCTTCCTGTTTATTTGGAGACTCTTAGAAACGGTTGTCCTAAGTATTTTTACAGTTTTTGGCCAGGGCCAGGTTTGAACCCACCATCTCTGGTATATGGGGCCGGCACCCTACTCCTTGAGCCATAGGTGCCGCCCCAGGTTTTTTAATTTAAAATCCGTTATTCTAAAATGTTTCTTTAGTGTCTTCCCTAACATGCTGGCTTGTGGCTTCCCAGGCCCAGATCTCTCTTTCCCCAATTTCCCGTCCTGGCTGGCTCCTCTTCTGGGGCTTTGTCTTGCCCTGTATTGGGAGCACTGCCCATCCTTGAAAGTCTGCTTGAGATGTTTTCTTGGGGCTTACTGGGAGGGACTTGTGTTGCCTGCTGCACTGGCCTTTTCTCTCCTGCAGTCCCTTGGCCTGAAAGCCTCACACACTGATGCCCGATGGATTTGCCCTCCAGCCTGTAAGCTCCCCTCAGCCAGGCTTATGTGTTTAACACCTGATAGTGCCTCACAGTTAAGGGCTTAATGTTTGTTTAAATAAATAACCTTATGTAAAAATGGTATAAAATGAATTTATTAACAGACTCTTTTGCTGGCGTTCTCTGTGTGTGGTTGTTTTTATTGGATGTGTTTATTTTCTAGGTGTGGAGTGAAGTTAATCAAGCTGTCCTAGATTACGAAAATCGAGAGTCAACACCCAAGCTGGCAAAATTACTAAAACTACTACTTTGGGCTCAGAATGAGCTGGACCAGAAGAAAGTAAAATATCCCAAAATGACAGACCTCAGCAAGGGTGTGATCGAGGAGCCCAAGTAGAATCTGTGTGGTGGCCCCGCACAGGACTCCCTGCTCCATCTGCGACCACATTTTTACCGCAGTAGAGTACTCTTTTTTCCCCCTTGTACTTTTTTTTTGACCCAGCATCTTTTTTAAAGGGAAAAAATGGCCTTTTTAAGCTCTGGAAAGCTCGCAGTGAAACACTGTCTCTCTGGAATGTGGCGCAGACTCTGCACCGTGGTACATTTGCAAGCATCTGACAAGCAGCCATTCGCCTTTCCAGTGCTCTCGGTACCTTTGGCAGCTGAAGGGTTTGGTTGGCCACGGAGCACTGCATGCGGTGGGGTTGTTGCTAATACTCCAGCCTCCCATTCAAAATACGTGAAGGAGCAGGTCATGGCCTTGCTCTCCGCGGGCTGCAGGCAGACAGGACGTCATCCCCTTCTCCTGAGTCTTGTCAGCTGCTTCTACAAGTTTTTCTCTACCCTTGGTTTTTTGTTTTTCATAGGAAAGAATATATAAATTTGTAAATCTTCATAACTCCTTGAAATGTGTGTGAGGCTATTGCATTTGATTTGTTTTTCCTTTTTGGTCTGGGTTGTGTGACTTTTGGGGAAATGCGTGAGGGGTGGGGCTATGTGATTTTTAATTTTTTTTTTAAGTATACATTTGGTGCTGTGCATGGTGAGAGACCCCTTCACAATGGATCAGTGACCTTTCTCTGCTAGGCAGTTTTGTTGAAAATAAAGATTTCTCTTCGATTTCAAGAATGACCAAAATGACTTCTAAACAGTTTGCATCACCTCAAATGACCTTTTGGTTTGGGCTGTACTTCTCCTCTAATGATGGCAGTGACATGCTTTCGCATCTGCAGCTAGAAAGATGTCTTGGCCCTGTCTGTGTGCTGGCAGGCAGCCCTTCACTGGCAGGGTCGCTTGAGGGCAGGAGGCTGTTGGCAGAGGATGGAGCGCAGGCCTCCTGAGCAGAGTGGTTTCTCTTTTGTTGTCTGCCTTCTCTGCAGGTGTCCCTCTTTTGTTTGCTCACAGCCTTGTTCCTTGTCCTGGTGGTAGGAGGGACTGGCTCGGTGTAGCATGGGGTTTATGCAGGTCAGTGCAGTCAGTGGTGAGTGTGTGGTGCGTAGGTTGGTGCAGGTGTGTTTGGATCTGTTACAGTGGGCTGGCAGGTGCAGCAGCACTGCAAGCAGGTTTTGTGTGAGGCCACAGAACTGCTGACTCCTGAGTGAGGCTGCGGGGAGGTAGCGGGCCCACTGCATCTTCCACTGTTGGCGGCTGAGGTGGGGAGCTGCTGTGCTTACTGAGTAGCAAGGAACAGCCCACAAGCCAGGCCAGGCTGGGGTGAGACTGTGCCCCTTGAATGTTGGTCACCCAGTGTCTGTGGCTCTGTCCTTCCAGCTAGAGGAGTGTCCTTACTGAGGCCTGGTGCAGTTCAGTGGGAGGAACTTCTGGCAGGATTTCCTTTCCCCTAGATGCCCTCTGTGAGTTAGTGAGAGACACAGAGGTAAACTGCTGCAGTCCTTGTGAAATCATTCTGGCCTCTAGGCTGACCCTTCAGGCTGCCCCTTTGGTTTTGTGAAGATTGAGTGCCAGGAGATGGCCCCTTCCCTGAGCCCTTGGAGTGGTGTGTCCGAGTCCTGCATACATCTTTGGGATTATTTTGTCTGAGGTTTGAAGAGAAAAATAGAGGGAAAGGGAGTTTTAATTTTTAGGTGATAGGTTAATCATAGCTGATGCTAGAAGAAAAATATTAGTTGAGAGAAATAAAACCACATTTTTTGAACAACACCAGATAATGGAGCATATTCCTAATTTTATTACTAGTGTATATAAGATCATTACATGCACAATTAATATATAATCAATTTGACATATTCTCAAGGTTAGAGGGTATGAGATGTGTAGTGACGGGAAGCCCTGTCTTCTGGGGCTATTGGTGCACTAAGTGTTGCTAGGTGGTTGTGAGACAGAGTGTTGACGTTTCATTTGCCGGTTCAGGCAGTGAGTAGCTTGATAAGCCAATGCTGAAACCCAGTGCAGGGTAGACGCTGTGAGACTGGAGACTTCAGGTGCTCTTCGTTACTTGGCCTGTGTTTGAGAGGCTGTACTTCTCCCGTGATCTCTTAGTAGGTGGAGGTCTTCTGAGGAAGCACTTTGCATACTTTTCCTGTTTGTCACCTGTTTGCAGTCTTGTTTTCGCAGCAAGCAAACGAAATTAAGCCACTTCGGGATAATGAATGTTCAGTATAATTTGGTTTTTCTACATTGTCTCATTTTATATGTCACTGTTGTGTTTATAAGATGTGGCTATGTTTTACAGAGTAGTTTATTTCCTTTTACGCTTTCTGGTGGAAAGTGCCTTGAAATAAATAAAGTCTGAGAGTATTCCGGTACTCTGTGTTCCTGACAGCATAACGTCATGAGGAATAACCCCTGGTTTGGATCTTTCTGAAGCATAGGGATTATTGCAAAGCAAGTGGGAACTAACACATTTTGCCATTTGAATATGGCTTTCCAGGTTCTAGAAAAGATGAACATTGGTTGGGACCAAAGTCTCCACGGCGTGTGACTGAAGACCGGTGGCCTTGTGTGCTTGAAAACTGCACACTGAGTCCACTGATGCCTCAAGAAGGCCGAGATCTTCTATCCAGCCAAGATGGGATATGAAAACGTGTAAACAAAAAATGTTGAGGACAGTTTTCTAAGGCAATATAATGTCTTTATTTTCTTATTTCTGTATGTTATTAATTTTAGAGAGTTGAGGAACCAGGGTTCCAGAAAGAATCTTAACATATTTTATGATAAAGACAATGGCATCTTTGGGACAGTGGAACGGGTTCCCTTCTTGGTTGGTATTGCTGAGTCTCAGTGAGAACAAAGAGCACACTGCTAGTGTTGTGAATGGAAGGTCTGGCTGCCTCCCTGCCGATGAAAGACACTGAATAGTACACAGTAGGACCTCGTGTGGTGTGCGTGCCTGGTAGACCCACCGCCCGACGCAGCTGCCTGTTGTCATCAGCCTTCAATCATTTTTGCTTTGTTGACATGTTTTATTCTGAGACACGCATGTTACTTTTTACAACAGGTATGTTTTTATTTCAGATACATGTATTACTTTTTCTGATTATTTGTAAATTGTATTGTCAGCATTAGTCATTTGAAATCCTGTATAAAATCATAGCCTGCTTTCTGGTTTTCTATTATGTTTGATTCTATAATTCTTTATACCATTGAGGCACATCCCCCTCCCTCGCCCCCAAATATCCAGATATCTCCTGAGAAATGCAGGACAGATTGCTTTTGCTTCCTATTAATTTGATAGTAAAAGTTTTCATGGTTTTCTCAGAATGGTCATATGAAAGCTCTTTTTTTCTTTAATAAGAACAAAGAATTACTAATACATTTTTTATTAAAAAGTTGGTATTGAATTGGAGGATAGCAGGAAATCATTTCTTGCAGCTTCATGCTTCGATTTTGCTCAGTCCCCACTCTGACAGCATTCATCTTCTCTGTTGTGTATGTCTGTGTACTTGTGTGTGTTTAGTTTGAAGTCTGTCATCTGTTTCCTAGAGTCATGGCACTTTAACATTTCATAAATTAGTCAAGGAAATAGAATTTTTCTGGCTAGCCAGTACATAATTTTAATTTTAAGCTGAATTGGAATAGCCTTAAGTTTTTTTTAACTTACGAAACTTCCTAAAATACCAAAAATAGAGGGAAAGCTGCAGTGTACCCCAGTGCCCCCCACTCAGCTCAAAGATATCCCCACTGTCTGTGAGCCCGTGGCCAGAGATAGCTGCAGGTGTCCAGTTTTAAGTGGCTCCTGTGCTTTCAGGTACTTTAGTGTCTTTGTGCAGTTTAGGACAGTTAAGAAGGATGTTCTGCAGTGCCCGCAAATAGAATGTGGGAATGACAGTGGCGTACTGGGGCCAAGGAGTGGTATCAGTGCAGCCAGGCCTGCACTATGTGTCTGCTTAGTACCAGGGACTAGGATGATGGCCTTCTGTAACTGGTCCCTGCATGGCAATGACATGTCCTGGTGTTCTGGATGTCAGCTTACCCTTGCTCCTTCCATGTCCCTCACCCTTGCAGGAGGCATGCAGTGGGTCTTCAAGGTGGTGTCACCATGAGCCCTTGGGTATGAGCTCCTAAGTGACAGTCTGAGAGCTTCAGTAGGAACTACAGTTCCTTGCACATGTGACCTACCTGTCTTAAATATTCTGCCTTAATTTTGGAATGCCATCCTCACTTGTGATTTTTTTTTCTTAGAGACAGTTTCATTTTGTCGCCCTCAGTAGAGTGCTGTGACATCACAGCTCACAGCAACCTCCTGTAATTCTCTTGCCTCAGCCTCCTGAGTAGCTGAGACTACAGGTGCCCACCACAACGCCTGGCTATTTTTGTTGTTGTTGTTGCAGTTTGGCCGGGTCCAGGTTTAAACCTGCCACCCTTGGTATATGGGGGCAGTGCCCTACCCACTGTGCCGTAGGCACCGCACCTCACTCATGATTTTTTACTTATGTACAGGTAGAGTACAGGATTTGAGTGGGCCTTGGGGTAACTAGCTGTGGCAGAATCTTTTACCGTAGAGTGTCCTGAGCTGTTTTACCCTCTCCAGAAGCTATGAAGGCAGCTCTGCTGGTGAATTGGCCTGTGCCACACACTGAGTGACATGAGGAGGGGCTGAGGAGTTAGCCGGTGGCTAACTAGTGATAAGCACATCCCTACGCCTCTGGGTGTGTGTGGCACATGGTGCTGTTGATTATCTGCAGCATTTCAGTGTCTCCTGGTTGGAAGGCCAGGTGTATAGCTCCAGTGTGACCATGACACACAAGAAAATTGACCAGATGAAGCCCGTAGATTCATTTGCAGCCAGCTGTAACCAAAAAAATTAACAAAAGAAGTAACAACTGAAAACCAGTAGACTTTGTTAAATGAGTGTATCTGAATGGTTTTGTTTTTATTGGGTCATGAAGTGTGAAGTGCTAAGTTGGACAGTTCAATTCTCTGACACTTGGGTTTTTTTTGGTTTCTTTTGTGTATGTGAAAGTTTCATCCTCATTCTTTCAAAGGCACGTTTTGGCTTGTACTTTACCTTTCAAATTTTGTTTTGGAGCAAATTTGTGTTATTTTTGAATATAAGTTCCTTCTTAGAACTGATGCAGCACAGACAGCTCAAAATATGGATGAAACATTTGGGAAGGATATGGCCAGTGAACACCTAGCACATCAATGATGTGAATTCTATTCTGGTGATTTTAAGTTTGAAAATGAGCCACATGGGCAACCTGAGACCAAGGTGGATGATGATGAGCTAGAAGCTATAGCAGAAGCAAACCCATCTCCACCTGCTGAATTAGCAACAAGGTCTAATATCATTATTCCAACAGGAGTGGACCATTTGAAACAAATCAGCAGGTAAAGGAGCTGGTTAGATGGGTCCATGTGAATTAAACAAGAGCATCAGTAGAGAAATCATTTTGAAGCTTGTCTTCTTTGCTGTCATGACATTTCTATACTTTATTACTATGTGTGATGAAAAGTGGATTCTTTATAAAACAACTGCAGGCTTTTGACATAACAGCTGGATGAAGGTGAAATGCTAAAACACAGCCCCAAACTGGAATATTCATCAGAAGCATGTGTGGTCCAGTGCCAGTGTAATTCACTACAACCTCACAAGACCTGGTCAGTCGGTATGGCAGATGTCTCCTTTAGCCAGCTGTATGGAATGATGAGGACGAGTGGTGTCAATAGAGGCCAGTCCCCTTGCAAGACAGTACTGAAACACATGTCACACACAGTCCTGCTTATACTGTAGGATCTGAACTTGGAAACTGTCATCTGCCCTATTCACCAGACCTCACACCACCTGACTATTATACCTTCCAGGCCTTGAACTACTTCTTGCAAGGAAAAATATTCAGTTCTCAAAAGGCTGTGGAAAATGCATTTTGAGATTACACCACCACTTGTTCCCCAGGCTTCGTTGCTGCTGGCGTAAACGAGCTACTGTTAAGATAGCAACACTGTGCCAGGAGTTTAGGCGCATAACTGTGATCAGTTGCATTGCTTCTTGGAGAAGCACTACACTTTTGATTCAAAATTGAAATTTCAGATTTGATGACCTAATAAATGCAGGTCACACTCTAGGCTCTTCTGTCAGCTGTGTGCAGAAGGGCTTAGCTCCTGCACAGGCTGGATGGGAGCTGTGGCCTGGTGTTTGAGCTCTGGAGAGGAAGACTCTGGGGTGCAGTTGCTCACTGTGCTGCGAGTGGTTGCTCACAGGTGCTCCTAGTGTTGGGCTAGAATGTGTGAGCTTAGTGACCAGGGACAAGTGGCTGAGCCATGCTGCCTTCAGCCCTGCTTTGAGATGCCATCTCCACCTGGCTGCAGCTTTGCCTCTGGGGTACATCAGCAGGCTTTGCCCATGAGGTGTTCGCCCTCCTGTGGGTCACAGTATCTTTTAGTCAGAATTTTCCTACCTGACTTTGGAAAGTGAAGCCAGCTGACCTGTCACCAAGATTGTCTGGCATGGAGTGTCCTAAAGGAGCAGGGGAGGAGGCAGTGGCTGTCAGCCAGAAATCAGAAGACCTGCTGGTCTCTGGTCCTGCTTGTCCACAGATTCATGTGCCTGGCTGGTCCTTAAGCTCTGGGCATTCCAGTTTTAGAAATGTTGGGTAGCTATGTTTGTAAGATCCAAACAAGGAATTTACTAGCACTTTGAGAAGAATGAACTGTTCAGAACCTTTAGGGATTGGATTATTCCCTGTGTAGAACCCACATTGCACTGTATCCACTTGTTACATCGTAAAGTTCATCATTGTGGTTTCTGGTGAAATTTCACACAGTTCTTTGTCCTGTTCCCGTCAGCCATTTGCAGTGTTGATTCAGCTCCAAAGGTGCCATGAACTAGGCTTTGTAGTCAGTTGGTGCAGGTCACACCCAGACTGTCTGCCAGGAACGTGGAGAAGACAAACTTGTCAGACTTATTTACTTGGCCTTCTCAGGTTTAGACTTGGACATGGACTGGAAAGGAGGCAGGGGCTACCTGGGTACAGGTCTCGCTCAGCTTCTCTTTTGAGGAGCTGTGCTGGGCCCCTGGGGGGAGCAAGGGCAGTGAGTGTGGGTGGCTTTAGGAAGCCAGTGTGTCCCCACACACACCAGCCCCAAATAAACTGAAGTTAGGCAGGCTGGACCCAACAAGGCAGGAGGCAGCACTGCAGGGGTGAGGGCCGTGAGTGTTGGCTGTGACACCTGTCACCAAAGTCACCCTCCATCCTAGAAACCCCAAGTTCTAACTGCTGGTGTTTTCCCTGTATGTAATGTTTCACCTTAAGCCTCTAAGATTGTTGGTGGGGTGTGGGGCAGCTCACAGAGTCACCTAGAAGCATGGAGCTCATGTGTCCCCTGCCCACATGTAGCACGTACAGCCTTCTGCAAGATGTGCCCTTGAGTAGCAGGTTGCACCCACACCTTCCCCCAGGTGAGGCTGGGGCCCAGGGAGCTGCCCTATCAGCCCCCTTGGTGCCCACTTGTCCCTAGGGCCTTGTCCTCCCTCCACCCTGGCTACTGAAAGCTGTGCACACAGCAGCCATAATGATCCTCTGACACTGTGGGGGCTTCCTAACTCCGACCCAGGGCCCATCTATACTGGCTTCCAGGGTCCTGTTTCCACCTCTCTGGCCATGCTGGGCGCCTGACCTTTGTCCCAGAGTTATGTGTGTGTGTGTTGCCCCTGCAGCTCATACAGACCTCACAGGAGTGTCCATTCAAGAGTGGTTCCTCAGCCCCACCATGTGAAGTGACACCTACCCTGCCCTGGTCTCCTTTTTCCTGTTTGTCTCCCAGCCCTAGAATATCAGCTCCAAGAGGAAAGGGGCTGTGGGTAACCAGGTGACAGATGTCTACACAATGTATCTATAGACGTTTATATAAAGTTACCATTGAAGAACCTCATGCAATGGATGACAACTACCAGAAGAATGGAACACTCTCAGCAATAAATTTAGCAACAATGTTCAAACTTCTTGGCTGTGAGCTAGGACAATCTGGGGAGCTAGACCTTTCTCCACCAACATCAAATCTGGACGGAAGATTGACCTTGCTTTTAGATATTGATATCCTTAATATCTCACAAGCACAGGTGGGGCTAGGTGCTGGGAGCGCTGGACCCAGGCAGTGCAAAGGCCCTGGGGTGGCTGGGCTGTTGGAGAAGTAGGGAGGGAGGGTGAGTTAGGGTTTTGTCCTCAGCACTCTGCCAAGTCTGCTGTCTGCTGTGTGGAAAGTGGATGTGGGGGTGAGGGTGTGTAAGCAGAATGAGGTGGGGGTGAGGGTGTGTAAGCAGTAGGCCTGGCAGAGGTAGGATGTACCCAGCCCCCACCCCCAGCACAGAGCCTGGCATGTGGCTGGGAATTAGAACGCCTTTGTCAGTCAGTGAAGTTAGCAAGAACCTGTTGAGGGATCTGCTCTCATAGGCCCTCCTTAGGGCCCTGGGAGTGGAGCCTGCTACAAAGGTCCATGTTTCAAATTGGGCACCATGAGATCTTGCTGCCATTGAACGCAGTTATGAGGTCACTCCTCATTTTCATTTGACCAGTCTACAACCCTGTGAGTCAAGGACACCATCACTCTCGGGTTTTTTGTTGTTTTCTTTGAGACTGTTTCAGAGAGTCCCCCTGGGTACAGTGCTGTGCTGTTATAGCTCACAGCAACCTCAAACTCATGTGCTCAAGTGATCCTCCTACTTGACCTCCTGAGTAGCTGGGACTACAGGGTTCTGTCGCAAGTCTGGGCTGGTTTTTCTATTTTTAGTAGAGACAGAGTCTCCCCCTTGTTCTCTCTGGTCTCAAACTCCTGAACTCAAGGGATCCTCTCTCTTTGGCCTCCCAGAGTGCTGGGAAATGGCTGAGCCACCAGACCTAGGCCCTGTTTTGTGAACTGGGAGTCCCCTGCGGCTCTTCTTCCTGTCCAAGGTCTGTGGCCAGCACCTCCAGGGCCAGGATCCCCTCTGGTCTGACTCCAGAGCCCCAGTCTTGCTGCTGGGGAGGCCTGTGGCATTGGCAGGGTGGGGGTGGGACCGAGTGCCATGCCCCGCCCCACACGCCCTCAGTGGTGGCCATCTGGGGGCGACTCGTCTTGGGAGCGCCAAACGGAAGCACTGCTGGGACTGACACGTGGACTTGGGCGGTGCTACGGGGTGGGTCAGCCTGGCCGGCAGTTGGAAGATCCTGCTGGGCTCTGAGACAAGCTGTCCCTACCTCCTAGCACCCCAAGCCTGATGAAGTTGTCCCTGGATGAGACTGGCAAGGATATGGCTGAGAATACCCAGTGGTCCAGGTGGGGCTGGAGCAGCTTCTGGGAGAGGAGGGACTTTGGGGGAGGGAGCTGAGATGTTGCTGGTGGGACCGCTCTGGGTAGAGAGTGCTGGGGTGAGGGGGAACCTCTAGACTCTTGAGTGTCCCACCCTCCTACCTGCCATCTTGTCCTTTGACCTGGCACATGCTCCAGAGCCAGGCCCTGGGAACTTGGCCATTGGGCTGGGTCATGGTCATGCGTGGAAAGGAGCACAGGCTGGAGCCTACCCATAGCTGTGCTGGGGTGAGTCTTCTGTGGCCCTGGGCTCTGGGGAATGCCTAACAGTAGGGAGAAGGGCCTGGCAGGGCACCCACTCAGCTTGTGTTCTGTTTCAATACTCCACTGAAATGCCCCTTCTGTGGGGCAAGAGGCTCCCACAGAAGTCAGAGCCAAATGGCAGCTATCTGTGGGCCAGCTAGTGAGAGGTCCTCAGTGAGAACCCCCAAAAGGAGCCCCAAGCTACAGGAGAGCCCACCTTGCCCTTGTCTGGGGGCAAAGGCCCCTCAACCCAGGTAGCTGGACCCCCTTTCCCCCCACCCTGTGGACTGCTGAGCCAACTGTGAGGCCCTGGGTCCCAGGGGCTGCTGGTAGTTGTAGGAAGACATGTGAGGGGTAGGACTACCCGGGGTGATGGAGCCCAGGTGAACAAAGGACAGAAGGCTGAGTCTTCCTGCCAGTGATGACTGGGGCCTTCCCACCTCTGTGTACTGTGTACTCAGGCGGGGAGCTGACTGGCATAGGCCAATCTGCAGCCAGCTCTGGAGAGTTGTGGCCCCAGGGCCTGCAGAACACTCTGGTTGTTTTACCGGCCTCTCTGCCTTGGCTCTGACCCTTCCCTCCTGGTTCCCTATGAAGGGTGCTTGCCCTGAACCCTGTGTCACTGTGCTGCAGGCCTTGTCAGGTGGGCAGTAATAATGGTAACTAGTGCTTTAGTGCTTCCTCTGACACTGACAGCCCTCTTCATGGACAGCTATGTCTTCAGCCACGTCACAGAGGCAGGGGTGAGGCCAGAGGGGCAGAATTTGGTAGGGCAGCCTGGAGGAGTGTTCCCTCTGGCTTGGTGCTCTCCTGGCTCCTGACGCTGGCAAAGTTCCCTTTTCTGAATCCAGGGGCCATGGGACTACCTTTAGCACAGGGACCTTGTGCTGTGCCGTGTGTGGGCTGCCGGGGATAGCTCTGTCTTCCATCAGACTCCCACACTGACACTGGGAGCGCTGTGGGTCCACTGGCCATGCCTGGTCCCAGGCTCAGCGCCCTGTGGTCTCTGCTCTCAGCCTCTTCCCTCCCCACTGGCTCTGTGCACCTGGACCCTGCATGTGTCCAGCTGCAATGCCCTAGCCCCACCCACTGCAGTTGTCTGTCACCCCCCACAGCCTCAAGTTCAGGAGATGGCTGCACCTCCACCCACTGAGCAGCCAGGAGTGGGCTGGCTCCACTCCTCAGCAGGCCACACACTGCTCCTTTTTTAATTAAAAAAAAAAAGTTGTACATTTCAGAACACTTAGACTTACAGAATCACTGTAAAGATGGCAGTTTCTGTACTCCATGTGTTTCACAACCAATCAGTGTAGCACGATTGTCTCTATCAGTGGGCTGATACCAATGCATCGTTATCAGCCAAAGCCCACAGCTAGTCAGGTCTCCTCATTCCCCACGGCATCCCGTTCCAATCCAGGCCCCTCTAGGCCCCCACGTGGCATACGCCCTGCTGCTGCTCCTCAAACTTGTTCTTGCCAACTTCAGTGCTTCTGGGCATGTCTGCTGGGGTTTCGTGGCACGTCCACAGTATGTTCACCTGGTGCGTTTGTCACAGTGGCCTGGACTGAAGGGTCTTTGGAAGGAAAGCCTGGGGGAAAGGCCTCCATGTCACAGCCCAACTGGTCCCCGTGGTCTGCACCTCTAGTACAGACATAAGCCTCTCATTTTTAAGAAACAAATGAAAAGCAAGAAAATCCTTTGTCCGCCGGCTAAGCAGCCAGGCATGTATACTGCCTCCCACTCCTGCCCCTCAGGCTGGTGCTGTGCCTGTCCTGACCTGAGCCTGAGTCCAAGAATGTCATCCAACCCTCAGTTCTGTTCCCTCCAGAAGCTTCTACTTGGCTCCTAGCCCTGGACCCCCGGGCTCACCCTTTCTCCCTGCACTTCTGAGTGGGAATCTCCCACCAATGTCCTGGTCCCTCCTTCTTGAGGCCCCTCTTGGTCACTGCACTGTGGTGGTCACCCTGCCCAGACCCTCTCCTGTGTCTGATTTCTGAGGTCCAAATTGAGCTTCCCCTCCAGCCACTCCCCACCTGGGGGTGTGAGGGCCCCCTCTGCCCCTGTGGTGTAGCCTGGGCAGCTCAGGGCCCCTGAGTCCCACTCACTCTCCTTACTGCTCTGAACCCCCCACCCCAGGTAAGGGCAGATCCTGGGCAGAGTCAGCTCTCACTTCATTCAGAAGGACCTGTGGCACTGAGGGCACCTGCCCCAAGGTGGGGAGACAGCTGCTCAGAGTTCATCCACAGGTTCAGGGGCTAACCAAGATGTTCTTCTTAGGAGAAGTAGCTGCCCAGGGCCAGAAAGGGCCACACCAGTGTAACTGCGTCCAGTCTGCCTGGTCCTTTTGCTGGCCCTTCCTTCTTAAAGTTCCCAAGCCCCAGGACTCTAGGGGCCCAACAAGTGTAACCAGCCCCCTTCCAGCCCACACAAGCCTTCACTCACCCTCCCCTGCCCCCTCCTGTGGACAGCAGCTGCACCCCTGCCCAGCCAACCCAGGACTCCCTTCTTGCCCAGAGAAAGCAGAGAGACCTGCCCCAGGTCACTTCCAGTGCAGAAGGGGGTCTGGGATTCTTCCTGTTATCACCATGTGAAAAGATTTTAGTTTGAACCAACTTCAAGCTTGCAGAGCAGCTGCAAGTTCAACTTGAAGACCTCACATCCCCTACCCAGACCCCACCTGTGGCCCCAGGGTCCACCCAGGCCAGGCCACTGGGAGCCGGACTGGGCCCCCGCACTCTCCAGGAATTCAAGTTTCCTATCCTCTCGCTCACTTCAGTCAGCTTGTGCAGGGTCTGAAGCCCCATCTGCCCCAGCCCCTCCCAGCCGCCATCCACTCAGACAGTTCCCTGAGTGGCCCCCAGGACCACCCACTCTGCCTCTGCCCTGATGCCTCTGGGCCCCCCTGCCCAGCACAGTGTCCCTGCCCCGGGATATCAGCCTGGTGTCCACTCCCGCCTGCCTCCTTCCAGAGCCCTGGACATCTGAGGGAAGCTAGGGGTGGGGCACAAAGCATGTGTGGCCTTTGGTGTCCCTGGAGCTAACCTGTTGTGCTGCCACCACCAGGGGGAGTCAGCCGCAAGTGTGTTCGGATGTTTAAAGCTTGGCTGCCCTCATTCACATCCTGGGACTTGAGTGACTGTCTCTCTGGACTCAGGGAGACCTCCTGGCGATGCACTCAGAGCAGCCAGGCCGCCCAGCCCCAAGGCCTGAGCCTCTCCTTTCCCACAGGCCTGAGTGCCAGACATGGACTATGGTCCTGCTGCTGGGCACCTGCCTGCTCTACTGTACCCGCGTGAGTGTACCCATCTGCACCGTGGCCCTGAGCCAGGACTTTGGCTGGAATAAGAAGGAGGCCGGAATTGTCCTGAGCAGCTTCTTCTGGGGCTACTGCCTGACACAGGTCGTGGGTGGCCACCTCGGGGACCGGTAACTACCCCACAATGGGCTGGCTCCATGGGGTTCTGCCCCATGTGGGCCCAGGGGTGGGTGGGTCAGCTGCTGAACAGGGGGGCTTAGTAAATTAATTTTGGAAGCAAGATGGGAGTGAGAGGGGAGAGACCAGGTCCCGTATGACCTTTGGGGCAGCAGAGAGGGTGGCCAGCCCTGAGAGCCATGGGAGGGGCCTGCAGAGGGCTGGTGGTCTGGTGAGGGTGGGCCCTAATCCTAACCCTAACCTCCCTCTGCCTCCCCTCCAGGATTGGGGGTGAGAAGGTCATCATGCTGTCAGCCTCTGCCTGGGGCTCCATCACAGCCGCCACGCCCCTGCTCTCATACCTGGGAAGTGCCCACCTCATCTACATGACTTTGTCTCGTGTCCTCATGGGCTTGCTCCAAGGTGAGAGGTCTCAGGCACTGTCCTCAGGCTGCTGCCCCTCAGCTCTCAGTGCCAGGCAGGGTGGACAGGGTGTGCTTGTGTGCATGTGCATGCATGTGTATATGTGTGTGTGCATGTGTGTGCATATTCTCCAGGCACCTGATCTCTGCAGTGACACATAGAATCAGATGGGATGCCACATGGTAAACTTACCTCCTGGCACGGAACCTGGTCTGCAGGCCATTCACGGGACCAGGCCCCGGGACAGCTTAATTGCCAGAGGAAGAAGCAGGGATCCCTGCTTGGCTGCAGTCCCCTGGAGACACAGCATCAGGCCCCTTCTCAAGGCCTTGCCCTCCTTCCTGAACTGGCACCAGGGGCCGGGACTTGGCTCTCTAGACCCTGCCTCCCTCTGTGCCATACCTGGAACACGTGGGGACCCTGGCTTCCCTCTCCCTTTTTCTCATGGGGTTTAGGGCCAAAAGGGTGTTGCAGGGAAAGATCTGCCCATCAGAGAGGCCCCTCTTGTGGTCCAGGGCCATCCCCTGACAGACATGTGGACCCCAGAACCACCTGGGCCACATGAGGCCTGAGCTTGGCAGCCCTCAGGAAGGGGTACAGGAGTACGGTGACGATTTGAGTTTGAGTGCTTATCAGGGGTCTCATCCCAGAGCCTGCCCCCCGCCACCCCCAGTATCACGCCCTCCACAAGCACAGCTCGTCCTAGCCCCAGATGACACTCAGTCCCTGTGAGGAGCTGAGGAGAAGAGAATGACCAGCCACCAGGACGAGATAGCCCTGCTGCAGTGGCCTCACTGTCATCTATGGATAGGACTACTGGTGGGAGGGGCGGTCCCAATGCTGATGCAGTTAAGAAAACAGTAGCTACTTAAAACCAGGCTGAGTGTATCCACATGTCCCTGCTGCTGCTGAGGAGGTCCCTAGACCCTTGAGGGCAGCCTGAGGGTCCCTGTGGGCTGTCTGCCAGCTCCTGCTCTTCCTCTGTGGGGCAGCCTGTTTGTGCCATGAGCACCAGGCATTCTACTTCCTAGAAACTCTTCAGTCTGGCCTGTCTGATGTCAGGTGTCACTCTCCGCCCAAAGTCTGCTCCAGGGAGCTGGTGGCATCCAGGGAGGGATAATGGCCAGCACCATCTACGGGGTAGCTGGTCCTGCAGTGGGGGCGATGGGCACCTTGCTGTGTTAGTGTGCAGTGTCCTTGGTCAGTGAAGAGGACCACTTTCTCCAGACCTGCTGCTGTCTTGCTTCCGGGGACAGCTCCCAGGACCCCTGGTGGTGGGCAGCTCACAGCAGGCCTCAAGGGGATGAGAATTGCCCCCAGGGCCACAATCACATTAATAAGCACAGTGCATAAATGACTGACGAGTAACCAGGTGATGTTTCCCGCGTGTCTGTCATGGATGGCAATACCCAGATGTGGTACATATGGTCAGCACCTGAGGTTGTGGGTTAAGGGGGCAAGTTCCTATTGTCACAGCAGCCTCAGGCCCCCAGGTGGGTACCCCCAAAGAGCCCCTGCAGGCCAGATTCTAAAGCCCCCCAGAATGGAGGGAGTGTGGGGCTGCCAGGTGACAGCCAAGCTTCTAGGCTGCTGGGGACCCCCAGTCCATGAGCAACCCCAGGAGGAAGCTCTTATGTAACACATGGAGACAGCTTTCTCGGGGAAAGCTGTGTGTCTGTGTGTGAGCCCACATGTGCAGGTGAGCTCACAGTGCTCCTGTGTGGCACTGTGCAGGTGTGCAGGTAGAAGTGTGTATGCACATGCATGTCATGTGTGAGCTGTGTGAGGAGCTGTGTGTGGGTGGTGAGCACGCACGAGCGTGCATGTGTGCACATGTGTATGTGTGCATGTGCTGGAAGCAGACCCTTCTCACTGCTGTTCTGGTCACACACTTGTGTGCACCTACCCCAGACAGAGTGTATGTCCTAGGCGGGAGGAGTGAGGTGAGCACGGACATCTGAATGTCCAGCCCTGAGTGGAGGGCCTGTGATGGACCCTGAGAGTCCTGTCCTCTCCCACTGTAGGGGTTTACTTCCCTGCCCTGACTAGCCTGCTATCCCAGAAAGTGCAGGAGAGTGAGAGAGCCCTAACCTACAGCACTGTGGGTGCTGGCTCCCAGATTGGGTAAGTCCTAGCCTCAGAAGGAGCCTGTGGAGGGTGGCCTTGGTGGGACCCAGCTGAGTGGGCCCACAGGACTCTGCAGGGTGGGAGGGGCTAGCAGGTGCTTCTGGTTCTGCTGCTGAAGGGTGGTGGCCTGCCAGATCAGGCTGAGACTTTAGCACTTGGGTGGGACAGTGGCCACTTATCACCCCCACTCATCTGTGCTGGGGGGATAAGTGCTACCCTCACCTTTGCTGCCTGGAAGCAGCCTGTGCTGCATGCCAGAGGGGGCTGGCCACCCTTCATGATGTGCCCAGTGCCTGCCATTCAGTAGCTCTAGGTCCTCGGGATGCCAGGCCTGTGTCTGAGGTCTTGCCCTGGGTGGACGGGTTTCTCACTGATTGAGATAGGGTAGACACATGTATGGCTGGCAGAGGCTCCTGGCCATGCCTAAGGCTTCATTTTACCATTGCTGAGGCTCAGAGGGCCACAGGGGTGCCTGTGGGTAAGTTAGGGACACCTGGGGCAGGGGTGGGGTAGGATGGTGCCCACATTTACCAAATAAAAATGCAGCTCACCCAGTGAATGGTAAATTTCAGGTAAACCAGTGGACGCACTTGTGCTAAGTAGTGGTTTGTTATTCTCTGAAGTCCTGTCTTCCCTGGTGTCCTGTAGTCTGCCTGGCACCTGAGTGGGCAGCAGAGAGGTGGGACAGGAAGGCCACTGTCCCCAAGCCCGTCCTGGCCAAGACTGAGCCAGGGCTGTGTCTGCCCTGCAGATGGGCAAATGGGGGCTGGCTCCTCTAGGCCAGCCCACTCCATCCCTCCAACTCCATCCTTTTCTCTTTTCACCATGAAGGGAGCGATTCCCCAGTTCTGTGTCTGGGGTGCCACTGGGGATATGGTTTTGGTGGTGTTTTCTGCCCTTAGAAATCTTTTAGAAAGTTGATCCTCCAGGCTCTAGAAAATGAAAGAAAGTGCGGGGGTTTCATTTCACTGTATACTCTGTCAGCATTTTCTTCTTGTTCCTTGCCTTCTTTAGTTTAAAAGGATCCTCAGACAAACTAAAGGCCAATTTGGTTTTGGTTTTGTATGTGTGTGTGTGTGTGTGTGTTTGAGACAGAGTCTCAAGCTACTGCCCTGGGTAGAGTGCTGTGGTGTCCTAGCTCACAGCAACCTCCAACTCAAGCGATCCTCTTGCCTCAGTTTTTCTATTTTTAGTAGAGATGGGGATCTCACTTTTGCTCACGCTGGTCTGGAACTGGTGAGCTCAAGTTATCCACCAGCCTCGGCCTCCCAGAGTGCTGGGATTACAGGCGCAAGCCATGCCCAGCTCACACCAGGGTGGCAATCCCAGGGAGGGGAGGGTGCTGCTGGCCTGGGGAGGCCCTGGTCACCCTCCTGCCTGTCCCCACAGGACGCTGGTGACCGGGGCGGTGGGCTCCGTGCTCCTGGAGTGGTGCGGCTGGCCGAGCGTCTTCTACCTCTCGGGCGGCCTCACCTTGCTCTGGGTGTGGTGCGTGCACAGGTACCTGCTGAGTGACAAAGGTAACGGGCCGGGCAGGCTGGTCCCGGCACACGCCGGCCGCCTGCTGCTCCACCCCACGGCTCTGACCTTCTCCAAAGAATCCACTAGACTGGAGTGAGAGGAGAGAGCACCTAGTGCCAAGCACTCAGCCCCACGTCCAGTTCAGTCGGGAAGTTCCTCTGGGGCCCAGGCAGACCCCTGGGGAGACCTGCAGGCAAAAGCCACCAAGGCAGGTGCAGGAGCGGAGAGGAGACTTGGGGACGCCCAGCTCTGGAGGAAGCCTGGGGAGGTTGGTTTAGAGCATGGCCCTTGGAGGAGGGCCACAGGCCACACCCTTTGAGCCAGGCTGCCAGCCCCTGGAACTGCCCCGAAACCAGATGCTGAGTCGCTGGCTTGGTGGCCGTCACTCTGAAACTGATTGCTCCCTCAGATATTGTTCTGGCTATGGGCATCCTGGTGCGAGGCCTGCCAGTGTCTAGGCACTGCAAGGTGCCCTGGAGACAGCTCTTCCGAAAGCCTTCCGTCTGGTGAGTGGGCAAGTCTCAGAGTGTGGGACTTGGCCCCAGGGGGTACACAGGGCGAATGTCACCCACTGCCTCCCCCACAGGGCAGCCGTCTTTGCGCAGCTGTCCTCGGCCTGCTCCTTCTTCACCCTCCTCTCCTGGCTGCCCACCTTCTTTAAGGAGACCTTCCCCCACTCCAAGGTGGGTCAGCCCATCCCCATCTAGGGTGGTGTGGGGAAGGACCCTGAGGTGGTGGGACTGGCTGCGCTGGGCACTCTCACCCCTGGTGTGCTGGAGGGACCCTTAGCTCTGGTCACCACATGCCTCCTTGCCTTAGGACAGGTCCGTCATGCCCAGGAGTGGGAAATGAAGTTGCAGCTTTACCCATCCCCAGCTGGGCCCTGCTGCCCTGTCAGAGCCCCACACAGGGCCTGGCCAGCTGGGCAGGAGCAGGATAGGGACAAGTGTCAATTGCATCTGGCAGGGCCCTACCCTCAGGCTGTCCTACTACCCTCTGGACTCTGGTGACTAGGACCTCCTGAGCTGTGCATGCCCAGGTTGGCTGGACCCCTTGTCTCTGGAGCAATACAGAAATTCAGGCTATAGCAGACTCAGCCACTAGTAGCCCTGGCACTCAGCTGGGGAGATGGTCTGGGTGGGCACAGCTTGGCTGTAGCCTGTCCTCAAGGAGGGCTTGGGCCTCTGGGTGCCCAGCCTTTGGGCCTATCCCCGGTGTCCCTGCCCCTCTGAGGCCCTGTCCTCCCACAGGGCTGGGTCTTCAACGTGGTGCCCTGGTTGGTGGCAATTCCTGCCAGTGTGTTCAGCGGGTTTCTCTCTGATCATCTCATCCGTCAGGGTGAGCCCTTGGTGGGGGCAGCTGGGGGCCTCACTATCCAGGGTGGGATGGTCCCCTCCTGGGGGTGTGGCTGCAGTTTGTGGACAAGGCTCACAGCTCCAAGGGCCAGGTGGAGTGGGACTTCCCAGGACCTAGTCTGACATCACTGGATCCTTTCTGCCTCAGTGTCCCTGATGGAGGGTGGGGCTGGGTGCTGGGTGCAGAGAATGCCCTCCTCTCATGGTCTCACACAGCTGTGGATGTAGCCTGTGACCTTCTGCACACCTAACTATAAAGCACCGGGCAAGATCATATTTGGACAGGAGTCCCCAAAACCCTGAGTCAGGGAGCCACAGGCCTGCACCTGTGCCCACTGTGGGCCCCCTGCAGGTTCCTCGGCTTGGAGCACTGCCTTCCCCACCCTGGGCAGCTGACTTTGTGCAGCTGTCTGCACAGACTCACGTGCTCACACACTCGCCCTGCATGAGTGCACCTGGTCTTCAATGTCAGCATTTTTCCTAATTGCAAAAGTAACATGCTCACTGTGGGAAAGTAGAAATCTGGAGAGATGCAGAGAAAGTGGGCACTGCTGGCCTGTCTGTGTCTCTGTCTGCACTGCTTTTGTGGCCGTCTTGAGCTAGAAGCATTATTGCTGCGTGTAGAGGCACCTTGTGTGTGTGCACTCTCGTGTGCTCACTTTTTCACCCAGCAGGACACCCGTCTTGAGCCTGAGCTGCCCCATCCTGGCCCCTTTGCTCCCTGCAGCTATACTGGGTGGGACCCACTCCAGAGGACAAGGGGGTCTGCAGTGGGCTGATAGGACCCTTTTGTGGCCTCCTCCCATCAGGTTACAGAGCCATCACGGTGCGGAAGTTCATGCAGGTAGGAGGTCCTGCCTGCTTTATTCCCAGTCCCCCAAGTCACCAGATTCCTGGGGCAGCTGTTGGAGGCTGCTTCAGGTCAGGGCTGGGGATAGACGCCTCTTTCTGGCCATGTTTGCCGTGGTGTGTCCTCCTGCAGGTGATGGGTCTGGGCCTGTCCAGCATCTTTGCCCTGTGTCTGGGTCATACTTCGAGCTTCTTCAAGTCCATGGTCTTTGCATCAGCTTCCATCGGCCTTCAGACTTTCAACCACAGGTGAGGGCTGGCCGCCCCATCTATTAGAGCCATCATACTGGCCGCCCAGTTTGGCGTGCCCATGACCCGCAAAGACAGGCAGGTCATAGAATGGTCACAGAAGCAAAAGCTGTCCAGCCTGGCTGGTGTGGGTGTTCAGACATTCTGGAAAACAAGGAGGACCTCTGCCTAGGGAGGGCTGGGAGGGGAGGTCACCACCAGGCCGCTCTGTGACCCTCCCTCTTCCAGGCTGTATGGCAGCATCACTGGGGCTGCTTTAGGCACCAGCCGTTCAGTTCAGTGAGCAGCGAGTGAGGCTTGTGGGCCGCTGCCACCTCGCTGTCCCTTCCCCCTGTGGTCTCAGGAGCACCTTCCTGGGCTGGGTCCATCTTGGGGAGACCTGGGGGGGACAGTGGCACCTTGGGGTCTCCTCACCCCCCCCCATCTCATGGCTCTGCCAGCCCTTTGTTCTTCTCAATGGTCTTAGGTGCTTAGACACTGGCCACTACCTTAGTGGTAGTGGCTGGCCATGGCCACTCATCCCCCTTTTCTGTTCTGGCAGTGGCATTTCTGTGAACATCCAGGACTTGGCCCCATCCTGTGCCGGCTTCCTGTTTGGTGAGGAATGTGGCTCAGCCAAGCCTTGCCATCCTTGTGCTGGCGAGGGCTGCCTCTGGCAGGTGGGCCCTGGGCAGTCACCAAGACTTTCTCTGTGTCCTTATACTCTCCTCTGACCTGTTCACAGGCGTGGCCAACACAGCTGGGGCCTTGGCAGGTGAGGGGCCGGCCTCTGTGCGTGGGGGCTACCTGGGGGATTCGAGCACTTTGGGGATGTAGGATGGGATTATGTACCCTTCAGAAGGGGTCCCAGTGTCAGGAGAGGGCATGGATCCTGGGGCTTCAGCCTTCCAAGATGTTTGCTGGTCTTCACCAGTGGTGGGTCTCATGGGTTGCCGTTCAACCTGACACTCAGATGAGAGGCAAATCCCGCAGTCCGGGTGCCCAAGATGCCATCCTCTCACTGAGTGCCTCAGGGTTCTGTGAGGTGTCTGCCACTTGGAGACCCTCAGGGTCTATGCCTGGCCTGGCAGCTTGGATACCTGAGTTCAGCCCTTCTCCCTGAGCTTTGCTGAGTGCTCAGCCCACCAAACCTCTCACCAGGTGTCGTGGGCGTGTGTCTGGGTGGCTACCTGATTGAGACCACAGGCTCCTGGACCAGCCTGTTCTACCTGGTGGCCATTGTCAGCAACCTGGGGCTGTGCACCTTCCTGGTGTTCGGACAGGCCCAGAGAGTGGACCTGAGCCCCACCCATGAGGACCTGTAGCTCCCACCCAGCCACCTTCTGAGGACACGGCACCAGCAACCCTAGGGACGAAGGGGCCCATTGGAGACATTGGAGATGTGTGAGCAGAGGAGATGGCAAATCACAGGGGCTTGCTCAGAGCCTGAATGAGTGGGCAGGAGGAACACAGCAGACATCAGTACCCATGAAGGGCCTGGGTCAGGACCAGGCTGGTCCTCTGAACCTCAGTTTTCCCACCTCCCTTCCTTGTGTGGCCATCAGGGACGGAATCTTTCTAGCAGATTCTGTCAGGTCCTGGCAGGACATCCTCATCAACCCCCCCACCCCTGGAAATGCCTGTCTATGGATGCAGGGTCTGGTGCTCAGCTGGGCAACAGACCACTGTCTGCAGGGGCGTCCTCACACCCCACCTGTTGCACATCACCCTTCCCCAACCCTCCCCATCCCGACAGCCAGAAACGTCTCCAGACTTTGTCCAGTGTCCCAGGGGCACCACTGAAGAAGAACCCCCAGTCAAGGTCTCAGAGTCTCTGCTCCTCCCTCAGCCAGGCTGAGACATCAGAGGCCCCTGTCCGTCTCTGGGGACCCAGCCCCCCACCATCCTTCCTGTAGGTCCCTGGTCACTGACTATGCATTCTGAGGAGGCGGACACCCTGGTGTCACCTGGGGCAAGGGCCGCACATGCAGAACCAGGCAGACCCATCTTCCTGATCTCCTGTCTACCACCCTTTCCATACCCTGAGGACCTGGTGGTCTCATGAATGAATGAGACTGGATTTTGCAAGATGTATGTGCAGAGAAAAGAAACTATACACACATGGGAAGTTACATCAAAGCTGTATTTAAATAACTGTTGACCTGTTTGAAAATATTATTTTATCATAAAGCATTAGAATCAGGTCTGAGGAGAGTCCTGGGAGCAGACACATTTGTGGATCTGGAATATTGAAATAAATGTGAAAATGGAGCCAACCCGGGGTTGTGGCTGCAGGGCACCGTCGGTATCCACAAAACTTCCCAGAGGGCACAGTGACAATGTGTCATTTGCGTTTAAGCACAAATTTTCCCTACATTCTCCCCAGATTGAGTCACAGAAATCTGAAAGGTAAGACTCCTGGTTATCGGGAAGTGCGGCCTCCTTAGATCCAGCCTGGCCATGCCCCTGGCGCAGCCTAAGTGCCACCACCCTGGGTCTGGGATGCTGTGCTGGAGGCTCCTAAGGGGATCAAGGTCCAGCCCCAGAAACTCAGCCCCTGTAGGTTCAGAGCAGGCTTGCTATGGGAGTGAGCCCTCTCTGCCCCCTTCTTCATGCAGCAGGAGCCCCGTGGCACTGAGCTCTCCATGTTAACACATGCATGTGTAGCCCGGAGCACACATGCATCTGTCATCCTGCGGCCCTTGCCACTGTCCATCCTGGGACATCTTCCCACCCTGACCCTCTGTCTCCTGGGACTCAGGGGCCCAGCCTGGGTACCACTGCCACCCTGGCCTTTACTAGGGTGAGTGTTGGGCCCTGAGACGGGCATCTGGGGGACAAAGTTTGCTTGAGGGGAGCAGGGAGTCAGGATGGGGCAGCCCAGTCCCTCCCTCCGGCCCCCGCAGGATGTTGTCTAGGGCAAACTGGCAGATATGTCCCCACCATCTGGAGTAAGATTGCAGAGGGTGGAGGCCCCTTTGCACTTTCACGGCATACCCACTCGCTCCGTCTCTCGGGAGCACATGCAGCAGAAGCTCCTGACCCTCCTCTGCCAGGCCAGTTTTAGGCTCCAGAAGCAGAGCTGAGAGCCTGACCAGACTGTGGCAGTCCTGTCAGAGGGGACGTGATGTGAGCAGGTGGCCTCTCTCTGGGCCATTTAGGCAGAGGAAGAGGAGGAACACGGGTGGGGAGAAGCTCTGGGTTCATTTGAGGAGGGGTCGGGGACAAGAAGAGGCAGAGGGAGGCAGCTGGGCCTCCTGGGACACTTCTGAGCCAGCCCTGTGGTCTCCAGGGCAGATAGTGAGGAGCAACCAGCACCCTCCCTCCCAGGGCCAGTGGGCCAAGAAGTTCTCCCGCTACACACTGGCTCCGTGTCCTGGATATTCTGCAGACAACCACCTGTACCTGTGAGAAGCAGACCACACTGTCAGCAAGAGGCCTTAGGTCCAGCTCTTAAGCCTGACTACCCCTGAGATCCTGATGCTGGGACATCCAGAGCTCTGATTTCTGAGGCTGGACTGGAGGAGCCCCAGGCAGTTTCCTGGGCTGCTAGGGTGAACCCAGCTGGCCCTCAGGGAAGCCCACAGCTGGGGGAATCAGCAGGACAGGAGCATCTTTTGGGGTTGGGCAGCACCCAGATCCTGCACCTTCACTCCTTGGAAGGAGGCTGAGCCACATGTGTATGTGTGTGGGCGTGCACCCGTGAGTACATGCAAAAATGTGTATGTCTGAGCATGTGCATGAGTGTGTACGTGTGAGCACACGTGTGTGTGTGCACAAGAACATGTGCATGTCTGCATATCCAAGTGTGAGTGTGTGCGTGGGTGATCTTGTGTCCAAGTGTGCACGTGTGTGTCCCAGTGCGTGTGTGTGAGCACACCCCTGGGTATAAGCAGCCCACACCCTTGGGACTTGGCATCGCGCATTCTCCATTTGGCCAACAGAGGGCGCCACTGGGCGGGGCTGTGTTCACCCTGCTGTTCCCAGCCTGGACTACAGCGTTTTAAGTGCAGGACCAATCTGCTCCTGAGAAGGGACTAGGCTAGGATGACGCTCCCAACAGAAGGAACAGCATGGGTGTTGAGGGAAAAGTCATGTCCAGTCCATGGGAGGAGGAACCTAGGAGGGGACCAAGCCTGTGGGTCCCTCCACCTCCCTTGGCAGCATGCTCCTCCCACAGGCCACAGACTGACACACAGCGTGTTCTGTCTCTGTCTTTAATGAGAAGATGCTACAGCCAAGAGCTGGCTCTAGGCCTTTGCCTCAGACCCCAGGACTCAGCAGGGGCGGGGGAAGGGCTGTAGAGGGCAATGGGCTCAGATGGGGTGCTGTGCAGGGGACAGCCATCCCTCCAGCACCCAGAAGGACAATCCTTTATCTGTGGAACAGCCTTAGTCCCCAGAACACAGGGAGGCCAACCTCCCACTCGTCAGGGCTGACCTGGGTGGTCTGGGGGCTGTAGTGCCCACCCCACTCTGCTGGTGGTTGTCACAGTCACGCCTGGTCTTATGACATTCATGCTGGAGAAGGTGGAAATGTGGACTGTGTCTCGGTGCCCTGAGCCCTCTGTGGCTGGGGCTCTCCCGATGGCTCTACCGGCCATTCTCCTGTTCCCCGCAGGGTTGTCCCTTCTGTCGATAGAAGGGTCACTTCCATCATTCCTTCCCTGTGGATCTCTGGTGTTCCTAACTAGGATGTTAACACCCTGGCTTACCTCTAGCTGTCTGCCTCCACTTCTAGCCACTGTCCTTCAGCTGTCGGTCAGCAATGCTCTGTATCTCCCCACTTGCCCCTGGGGGCTCCCAGATGTCTGTCCTCCCGGTGCGGCCTGCAGACCTGGGACGATGCGCTCCTCCCTCTCCACTGGTAGGAAGGATGGTCTTGAGTTGGAAACATGCTCTTGATGGGGATTTACTTTATTATGTTTAAATGAAAAGTGCCACAGCCGGGCCTGAAAGGTGCAGCATTGGGGTGGCTGGTACGGAGCTGTCTGCATTGGGGCCCAGCTCGGGGCCTGTCCGAGGGGGAGCTGCAGTGGGAAAGCTATTAATTGAAATAGCTTCATTAATTAGTAATTAACAGCAGGGTAATGGCTGTGCCACACGTCGTATTTCAGCAATGCCCTTCATGTGTTATGGGGGCTTTAATTAAAGGACGTGCATTTTAATTAGAGGTAGGTTCGGCCCTTTGGCCTCTGGAATACAAAAGATGCTCCCAGCTCTCATCTGATTGTGATGCTGGTGCAGGTGCAGAGGAGGGGCTGCACCTAAGTCTACCCCAACAGAGACTCCACTGCCTTCCAGCCATCCCTGGCTAATCTCTCTTGGAGTCTGGCTGATGACCTGGGGGCCATCTGGTGTCACAGGCCAATGTGAAGGGGACCCAGCTGGAAGGCCACAGGTGGGGAGGCCAAGGGCCTGCATCTCTGGCTGTGCTGGGGACTGGGAGCTGAGCCTCAAGGGAGGAGGGATGACCTGTGTGGTTTGTGCTGTCCCAGAGCGGGCAGCAGGGTGGCCAGGAATGTCCATCTGGAGCCGCACCTGGCAATAGACAGGAAACCATCAGCTACTGGCCCTTCAGGGCAGGCCTCTACTCACCTCAGCTTTTGGGGAGGGTCAGTGGCAGCTACAGAGAGACAGAACACAGTCCAACCCATCGGCAGCCAAGCTGGCCCTGGGGAAGACCAGGCCCCCATGTGGCTGCCCTGACAGACAAGGCCCATCCCCAGAGCCAGGCTGGGTTCAGCTTCTCTCCTCCCATAACACCACCTCATGGCCTGGGAGCAGATGACCATGCTGTCCACCACTTGGAGAATGTCTCCTTGGCCAGTGAGGAAGAACTTCCTATCACCAGCCCTGTCACCATCAGCCTGGCCCATGTCCAGTCCCTGCAGTCTGGCACCTCAGGGTCCTTCCCTGGCACCCCTGCCTCTGACCAAACAGTTCTCAACACTCACCCCTTCTCAGCTCACTCTGCCTCTGCCTCTCTGTCTCAGGCAGAGCACACTTAAACACACACTCACACACACAATTGCTCACACTCGCACACGCTTATACTTACAAACACTCCCACATGCTCACACTTGCACACAGTTACACACACTCCTTCATGGATTGCACAGTTATCTGCGTACCCACATGACCACCTGCACACATGCAGACAGATCCAAAAGTTCATGTCCTCCTGTGTGGACACTGCTCCACTAGAAAGGGTGGCTCCTGCACACACACCCACTGCACTATACTGTTGGTGGCCCTGGTGTGGCCAGGGAGGGGCCTGCACTGGAAAAGATTCTTGTACAATGCCCCTTCACACCTCTAGCCCCTTATCCCAGCCCAGGCCTGGCCTGGATGCTCCCTGGTAGAGGACATTGACTGTGGGAGACACAGGAGACCCTCGCCCATGGATCCAGGCCCTCATGTTCCTACCCCTACTTTTCTGCTCCTTGGAAATACACAGCACCAGGAGCACCCTGGGACTCTTTTCTCCACATGGGGCTGTGGATACTCCAGGGCCTGCTGGTCTCAGCACGGCCAGGTGGGCCCTTTGCACCCCTAGGTGGGGGCATTTGGGTAGGGTGCTGAGGCTTGTCCTGGGAGGGTGAAGTCTGAGCCCTCCCCTGGGAACCCAGCTGCCACTCTGTGAGGAAGCCTAATCAGCCCACAAGGGAGATGCACAGAGAGGCCCAGGATGTACAAGGGAGGGTCCCTTCCAACCCCTAGTTGCACCAGTTCCAGGCCACCAGAATAAGTGCTTGAGAGACTCAAAGAACCACCCAAATGAGCCTTCTCTAGGTTTCTGACCATCAGAAACCATCAGCAAGAACACAGTCACTGACAGGAAATCACATAATTTGAGTAGAGGCTCCACTGGTGCCAGGCAGGTAGAGAAGGAAAGGGGTGTGCAGATCCAGGGGTGCAGGGAGGGGAAGGTGGCCAAATGGGTGGGAGGAGGGAGAGGGCCCAGGATGAACTTTGGAAGCACAGGGCACTGGGCTGTGGGGATGCCACGTGCCAGGTGGGGTAGCCCCTCCTGGTCAGCACTGATTTGCAGGGGCCTCAGTAGCTCTGTGCCTGTCCACTTCATGATGGCTGTTGCTCGGGGAGACTCCCTATCCGTCTCCCCAAAACAGTGTCTTGTCTTTGCCAAGGTGGGTAATCAGACCTCGGAAAAAGTCTTTAGCTAAAGTGTCATTGCCAAGGACAAAATAACTGAGATGCACTAAAAATGCCAGAGACGTGCGACATGAAATACAGCCTGTCCAATTAAAT